TATATATATATATGGTTTAAACTTAAAATAATTATTATTATATTTGTGCAACAATTATGATAGGTTGATGTTTATGTTTTCTTGTATTTTATTGTAATTGTTGTTGTAATTGTTTTAAGTTTTAATGTTATTAGTTTATTGTGTTGTTAAATTGATGCATGTTATTTAATTAAATTGTTAAAATGATCCAAAAATTAATAATTACAAAAGCATTCACCCGATTTCTTACTCGATTTCCTATCCGATTAATTTAGTCGGAAGTCGGATAAGAATACTAAACTTGATCGGGTAGGATAGACCAAAAATTTTTTTTTCACAAAATATAGAGTGAGAAGATAAAAAATTATACTTTCTGCCCCTTGAACACCCTGAACTGTATGCATCTGGAAAATTTAATGAATGGGCCTGCTCTGGCAAAGGTTAGGACCCATAAAGAGGCTGAGAAAGATGTAACCCAATCAACTGAATAGTATTGATCAATCATTGGGAGTCATAAAAACTTACACATCATGCAAATGTTTGGCTTGTGGTTTTGGACTTGTGTGGTCGGTCTCAATCATGATAAACAAGCTCTCCTATTTTGTTATTATTTTTACAATTTGAGAATTTAATTTTTTATTTATAGAATTATATATATATAGTAAAATAGTTAGCACTTTAAATTTTATTTTCTCATATTTTTTCCATCCATTTCTATCATAGCACCTAATATTATCACAAGTTGAATCATTTATTAATTTTTAATTAATTTGTAGGTCAATATATATTTTATTATAGACGTCTATAATGTAAAACAAGATAAATACCAATAAGTTTATCTGACGGTATTAAATAGACTCATTTAATGACAACTAACATTCTTCTTAAAATCATTCACATTACACCGTATCTTCAAATACGAGTTACTCTTATACGAGAGTGTCCATATGTGAAATCTATTTTTGATCGTTCAAACTACATTATTACGAGTTATAACTAATATATATATATATATTTGCCAAAATGCGCGTGCCATTTCTAAGTCATCTCTCTTTGTTTCTTTCTCTCTCTCATCTTCTACGAGTCCAAAACCTTCGAAAGAAAAGCTTTTTTAACAAACACAGACCAGTTTTTTCTTTTACTAACCCTTTTGTTTCTTCTTCATGAAATACAGCAGAGAAGAAGTGGGGGTTCATTTTCTCTGTTTCCCAAGTTGCCCTTGGTATATTACACTTTAGTTTCTCTTTTTCCTATGTGGGTACATTGTTGTTTTGAGAATTTTCATGGACAAAAGTGTCTTACAAGACTTACATGGTCAAATAAGTGGGGTTGTATAGTGGTGTTAGATTTGCAACTTGGAATTACTGCCCAAGAAAGAATGTTTGTAGTTGCACCAACAACAATACATTAACCATCAGAAAAAAAATAAACAAAAATAAAAAAATAAAAAATTGAAAAGAAATAAATGTTACGCAATTTTTATAAGCAAATCTCAGTTTATGAGTGACTCACCGCCGACTAAAAAGTTTAAGGTTAGAGGCTCACTCTAAAAAAAAGTGTGTTTATGCTGAAAAAAAGACAGTTTTATCGAGTATAAGAGCATCTTCAATGTCCCTCGCCAGGCTTTTAGTTAATTTAGCTAGAAAAAATTTAAATCGTGTGCTCCAACGCCCTAGTTATCTAGTTCGCCAAAATCTAGAAAACCAAACTGCTCGTCAGATCTAGAGAGGACAATTCACTCGCCAATTGCTGCCTTCTTTTCATTTCTGCATAACGACGCACTGTCTTCCTTCCATTTTCTCCTTCAGGTATGTCTTCCTTCCACATCTAGCCTCCACGTCCATCATCGCTTTCCAATACGGCCGACCACTATATGGATGGGGGGTATGGATCTCTCTCTCTCTCTGTGGCTTCATTGTCCTTGAAGTAGAAGAACTTAGATTAGTAAAACCCGGATGAGTGGAAGCAGATTCATCGTCTTCGAAGTGGAAGAACCCGGACGAGTGAATCGTTCCTCCCCCACAAATTCTAAACCCCCCCCCCAAATAAATTTTGAAACCTCCACCCAAATTCTAAAAAGTCCCCTAACAAATTCTGAAATCCCCCCCAAATTTTGAATATTTATATTTAGACCCCTATGAAATATTAATGTTAGTATTTGGAAAAATTTTAAATTTATGAGACATATTGTGCAATTAATTTTTGTTTTTTAAAGTGGATGGGTGTTAAATTTGTCATTAAATTGTATTATTTAAAGTTTAATTAGAATTATTATTATGATATGATTTTAGTTGGGTTGATGATTATACATGCTTTGAGTTGAATTTTTAAATTATATTATTGAAAATTAGTTAAAGTAGTCAGTTAAAATAGAGAGCGTGATTAGAGTGAATTTGAAAAAATAAATAACTAAAATAAATAATATAATATTTAAATATATTTTGAGTAGTTATTTTGATGATTACGGTTAGAGCTACTCTGCGACCTGAATTCAATCCTTATAAGTTTCTTACGTCACCTGTAATTTTTCCAGCCAAAAGAGCAAAAGGAGATGGATGGAATCACGTCTCCTCAAGGAATCTTGGGAAGCATCTCTATTAATTTTCAAGCCAATTAACTTTTCTTTATTTAGAGAAACATTTGCCATTAATCAAACACAAAAAGTACCATTCCATGTTGATGTCTAGAGAGAGAGAGAGAGAGAGTGTGTGTGTGTGTGTGTGTGTGTTATCTCTTTATCCTTTTTCTCAGTCATGAAACATGACATGGCTTCTTTTTTGTTTGGGTAAAAAATCTATGAAAGGTGATAGGATGCATTATTGGGATCAATGTGTTCTAGAAAATTAAGCCAATCAAAGTCTCAATGAATAGGATCATAATAAATATAAAGATAAAGACTAAAAGTGGGGCTGGATATATAGTTGAGGATCTATTTTTCATCATTTAATTTTGATACTGCATGGACCTCTAGATACCCAAGCCACCAAAACCCTTTGTTTTTTTTAGTAGGATAAGGTTATGATACTAGAAATAAACTAAATTAACTGGTAATTAGGATGGCCAGAAGCAACCTTCTTGATCATGAGGACAAAGATGATCACACCCAAAAAGAGTTGAAGTCTAGAACAATGTGTAATGAATTTTGTTTGAATCATTAGAATAGAGATCTCTGGCCACCAGTCTTCTCTTTCTATCACTTCACTTTGCTCGAGAAATCTGATCTCACCGGTCCAGGCAAAGGGGAAGGAATCGATGGGTAGTCCGGG